TAAAACCAAATTAAATTAGAAAGCCACCCCTTAAAATTGAAAGGAAGTTGCAACTTATGGACCTAACTGTCCTTGGAGTTGATGGTGGCACAACCTCACAGTGAGGTGACTTTAAACCACAGTCATTTTACTGTAGGTTCCAAGTGGGATATATCTTAAAGACGAAATAGAGCTAAAAAAAAAAAATCTTACATTTCTTTTATATTTTTGATGTTAGTATTATTAGCATTGTTACTGAGCCATGATTAGATATTTGATATTAAATAATTATTAGTTTGTTTCGATATAATAATATTATGAATATATGTAGAAAGAAATCATCATCTTTTTGAGAAACAGGCCCAAATATTTACAGATGAAACAATACGATGCTTAGGTTTGTTTTAAATAATCTAGGGCTGGAGAAGTACGTGAAGAGCAGTGGAAGACCGTCGGGAGTTGCTCATTACCAGCCAGAGCTGGGTGATGAGCACATGAGGTTCGCTATCTTATTCTCTCCACTCTTATATAAATTTGAAAATTTTCACATTAAAATATTAAAAATGTCAATCAAATCTGAGTTGACAATGTTAAAATAAAAGCTCATGCACCGTTTCCTTCCATAATAAAGTATATGGTCTCTGTAGAAATTCATTGTTGGGAAGCCCAGCATCATTTCAAACATTTGCAAAATCATTATTTTACTTGATTTCAGACTAGAAGAGTGTTGGAATTTAGTATGAGTTTTTTTTTTTTTTTTTTAGAAATCATCCATTTTAGGAAAGGAAAATTCGCTGTTTTCTTGGGCACAAAAGAAAATTTAGCTTGAGCTCCTTTGCTAGCTTTACGTCTGAAAACCCAGAGAAATATAGAAGCACAAACTTCCAGCTCCTCTTGCCTGGTCCTGCTGATGGGGTCTCTGCCACCATTGCTCTGCTGAGAGCGAGAAGCACGGCATGCCTTTCGAAGGCCCAGGTTTGAGTCCTGGCTCTAGTCTTTCTAAACTTCATATATTTAGCTGTAAAACGAGGAGATTCATTTGATGAGGCAGTTGTAAGGCTTAAATGAAAAAAAAATAAAAAAACAGGTAAAGTGCTGAAGACGTTGGCTGGAAATGAGTAAGTGCCCAATAAATGTTATAGACACTATGTCTTTTTTCCTTTCCCAAGGAAATAATATCCATTGCATATGGCTGTTATTATCTTCAAGTGAAATAATAATAATCTATGTAAAAGTGTTTATTATTTGTTGTTTCACCCGTTGTCACTAGGTCACAGGCTGATGAGACGCCCACCCAACAGACTGCTCATCTCATAGAGGGCTTTTTGGAAGTATGGGGCTCGGAGGTTGGTGGACTTCCAGAGATACAAGTAGGTGACAGCAGCTATGGAAGGGTGCTAACTTAGATGAGACTGTTGACCTGTTCACATCCACAGGCATGTTAATTGGAGTGAGTCTGCCCTGAGTCTGCCCTGGACTGTCTGACTTTGGACAGACAATCCAGGGCCAGCTGCTTAGGTTGCATGACTATATTCACCGAGGCAGGTTATTGATGGGTTGCAAAGGCGACTTGTTATTCAGGCTACAGAACAATAAATCTTTTCCTAAGTGTGTGGGGACATTTAGATCCTCAGCTCTCACTTTTCACATATCTACCAATTTTTCTAGAAGCTGTCTCATCTAAAAGAAACCAATTTTGTACTCACGGGTGCTGAATACCATATTGTCGGGGTTCAGAATATGCCACTCCAAAATACACCACTTTGGCATAATGATCATTTGAATTAAATGATCAATCTTGCTGGTGCAAGAAGGACACTCTGAACGTTCTTGTCCCCCATTAGGGACAAAGGCAGGAGCTATAGCTTCCGTACGAAAGGTACCCTCCCTGAACCAGGAGGGTAGAAGGCATCCTTATCATGAGACAGGCAAGACAGGGGCAAGCAGGCTGTAAAAACAAACACAGTTACTTCTTCATCACTTTACTACCCCGGCCCACAACTCTGTGTTATCAATTCTTCACAAATGTATTGTTTCTTTGTCAAAAAGGTATGAAAGCTTCCTACTGTGGTCACTTCTTTGTCTCATGGCTTTGTGGGACTCTCTTACACACATACAAAATTACATTTGTCTTTCTTTTGTTAATCTTTTTACTACAGGTAGTCTCAGCCAAGAACCGAGAAGGGCAGAGGGAAAATCTTCTTCCTCCTCTACAATATCCTATTAAATGTATCAAGTTTACGAAGTAGGTATTGTTATCCTCCTTTAAAAGGGGTTAAATTTGAGGCACGGAGAAGTTTACTGTTTTGCCCAATATCAGATAGCCAGACAATGAGACTAAGCAGCAAAGTGGATTTGAATACACACCTGTGTAACTATAAAGCCTGGACTTTTAACCACTATGCAGGTTCTGATTGCTGCCAACTTTGTTAAAGCAACTGTTAAAAACGTTAACATTTAAAGTAAAGGGGAAAACACAAGTTATTGACTCACATATTCATTCATCCATTTAACACTTTTATTGAGTCCCTATGATGTTCTAGGCAGTGTTCTCGATGTTTCTGACAATCCAGAGATGAAGAGAAAGTCAGTGCCATCTTAGTGAGGAAGGTTATAAGCAAATGCATATGAAGTATATGACCATCAGATAACAAGAAGTTATCGAAGTACCGTGGTGAAACTTGTTAGTTTTCTTGAAGAATTAACAATTTGTTTGAGGAGACAAAGCATGAATATATGAAAAGTTAAAGGGTTGAGAAAAGTGTCAAGCAACCTAAATGAAATAACACAATAATTTTGAAGCGAAGCATCCAAGATTAATTTCTATTAGCGACGTAGAAGACAAATGATGAGCGCGTGGAAACGGGAGACTGCTCAGGGCTGCCGTGTTCTGGGTGGTTTTGGGGAGGAGGCTGAAGAGTTGATAGGAGTTGGCTGGATGGAGGGAGGAAGGCATCCTGGAGCAGTGGAAACAAGTTAATTGTCTCCGCGAGACAAGTGAAAGTTCATTTTTTTTTGCTGATAGTTGCTAAACGTGACAGATTTAAAGAGTGTAAGTTTGGCCCTTATGGCTCTTAACACTAAATCTGAGGCCCCGTTCAATTTCATCAACCTGACCTTGAAAACATCAGCGTGAAGCCTGGATGTTCATGCATCAGTTACTGAATCTCAACAGATGGGATATACTTTTTTTTTTTAAATGCAAACAAAACACTACGTTTACCGTGCCCTGTAGAGTACGAAAACCTAGTTGACATTCTCGTTTACTCATCACCCGTCTCCTTTAATATGTCATCCATCATTTGCTCCGATTTCCCTGAAGAGCTCGTGAAAAGCTGCAGTGCGAACGACTGAGTAGTCAGATGCCTTCCGTTATCTCTCTGATGGGAATGTGGAGGGCGGGGGGGAAGTCGAGTTCCTTCGACGACGATGGCGGATGCGTGACGGAGTCTGGAGACAGGCTGCACGGCAACTTGATTTTGACCTGGCCGACCACTCCTCGTTGCGTAGAGCGCCACGGCGATGGTGGAAAGCGGGGTACAGCTCTGTGTCTATCTGGGTGTCGGCATATTCTGAAATAAGTTGCTGCTGACTCACCGTTCTCGGAAGAAGCCTCTTTGTCTACGCTGCTGGAAGTTGACCAGATGTCCAGAGGAGGCGGGCCAGCCCTCTCACGCATCCCTTTGAATCCCAGAAAGGTAATCTCAGAATTAATCCTGTGGGCCAAGGAGGCCAAAACATATGTGAAGGAACTGTGAGGATATGTTTTCAAGCAATGACAAGGAAGTGGTAGATGACTTTTTTCTCCTACATTGATGGGGAAGTTGAGGAAAGAATGATGGCCTATTTTTTTTAAAAAAATGCAACCATCAAAATGTCCTTATTTAACTGTTATTCAACTTCAGCAGTGCCTTAGGTGTCAGAGACATTTAGAGCAAGGGGAATCAAATTTAATTTCCAGGCCTCTACGATTGTTCATGGAGCCCCGTAACCTGAAGACTCAACTGCCTCTGACTGGGCTGTTTATTCACTTGTGATTTTTTTCAGGGATTTTTTTTTGGAGGGAGGGGGTAGGATGGTGGTAAGGGTTGGGTTAAAGATAAATTCACAAGTGTTTGTGATATATACACTCCACTTATTTTGAAATATTTGAACTGACCTAGTCAGAGGTAATGTGTTCTAAAATTAAAAACTTATCAGAATTAAGCATACTAATAATGCCATCACCAAAATTAAGAAACAAAAATTAATTCGATGAGTTTACATTATATGCTGAGAGTCTAATAAAGGGCAGTATGCTATGTGCCATGGGGGAGGATATGAATAAAGGACATTATATATATCTTTTGAGAAGTACAATCTTACTAATGTCCCAAGCAGTCTAAAAAAGAAAAAAAAAAAAAACCCTTGAAAAATCATTTTTATAAAACTTTAGTGGCCGTGTTTATATATACATATCGGTTTCAAAAATCCTACCAATGCCTGATGCAGTCAAATAAAATTTTCTGCAGGGGAGCCCATCTTACCGGAGAATAGATTCCAAATCAGAAGAAAAATGAAAATAGTAAAATCCTATTTTGTCTCTAGTTATGCATCGCCCTACCTTCTCCTAGCATGACCAACTCAACCAGATTTTTTTCCAACAATAGAGAAAGTTGCCAGGGCTGGCTGTGTCCAGCAGTAGGAGTTGGTGTGTGTTTTGGGGACTTACTCAGCTCTGCCTTTGGGCCTGAGGAAGAGGCACCCCTGTCCTAAACCATTTATTTTAGACTACCTCCTTAGATATCAAAGTTAAAATAAAGGCAAATAAATGTATTAAAAACACATGACTGCTTCTGTCACTTGGGATCCAGGGCTCAGTGCTGGTCCAGAATGCTCCATAACCGAGGTTGGCCACATAATCTGTGGGGCCGAGTGCAAAATAAAAGTATCCATTTTATAAAAAAAAAACAAAAACAAGAAAAGTGCTGTGAAAGATACATATAAAAATACTTTCCCTCCTTCACCCAGTCTCTCCCTCTCTTGACGCATAATGGTGTTTTTTATTTGCTCTGTCATGTCACCCCGAGGAAGAAAATTTTACGTTTTGAATTACTGGCATGCATCTTGCCATTCATCTTTACATTGTGCAATGGCGGTTATGGCAGTTACGAATGTCAACACTGGCACATTTTGCTCGTACGCAGAATCACTGAAACGACACAATTTGCATTTTGTTGCTCAATCCCTGGAGCTGGCCAAGGAGACAAAATAGGAGCCAGACTTGGGGGGGCGAGAAGAAGGGAGGATTTCCCCCCAGGCTTCGAGCCAGCGGAGGGAGCGCTGGTCTGGAGATCCTGCCTGGGAGGGATGCGAGGGGACCCTGCCTTGAAGAAAAGCTGCTCCCCAGGAGGGATGAGCATCCACGGTCTCATGTCCCTTCCCGTCCCAGTTACGGTTCTGGAGAGATTTAAGAACTAGTGTGGTATCTGCACACGGTAGCTAGACACGTGTTTACATCGTTAAACATTCACTTTGCTTTTAAATTGATTCAATGGTGGTATAGATGTGACGTCCATCAAACGAGAACACTGAATGCTAGAACTGTGAGTAGTCTTTTTACTTAGAAAATTCGTGATTTAATTGAGTTTTCAAACCTTTGCAGCTTTATTTAAAGATTTCGGTTTAGGTTTTAGGTAAACAGAAATTATAATTTCTATCTTGCCTTTAATGTTCATGGATAACTTTTAATATTTTGAGAGGGTAACTTTTAAAATAGGTGTACAAAATAATGAACTTTCCTTTGGTTACATTTGCTTCAATTTACGTTTTTATTATATACTTTGTAGATTTATATTTTACTTTGTGCTAGAACAATACTGTATCAAAACAAAAATGTAAAAATCTTGTTCGTAACAATATAATTAGTGATTTTACTGGAACAAAGGAAAGAATAATAAATTTTTATGGGCTAAATACATAATACTTTATGAATTGTGGATGTCTTTCCTGTATTACTCATTCAGACATCACCAGCCCATAAACAGGATACCTTTATGTGTATAATAATAATTAACTTCCATTGTCTTTGATGTTTTCCAAACTTTCAGTCATATAAAACCATAGCTTTACTCATATTTATTTTTTAACTTTTGTTAATATGAAGGTAGAAGTTTCAATGCTGAGAGGAGAGAATTTTTTTATTTAACTCTTTGTTAACTTGATTTATAACTTTTAAGTACTTAGGCATATGGTTTACAGGCCTCTATTTGTAGTCTTGTCCTGTGCGTCAAATATTAGGTAAAGGCCGGTTGTTTTATTAAAATTTCTTCTCCTGATCTATAAAAATCTCACACATAGAAGAGAGTTGGCTTTTGTGAATGGGACCAACCGAGGGACATCGCTTCAAATGTCCCACCTCTCAGGCTCTCTCTGGGGTATGGACTCTGGGCTTGGAACAGTTGATAAAATTACTTGCACTGTCTAGGTTAATTTTTCCCTTTGCTCAAACACATATATTCAAATTTTCTAAATTAAATGTAAGCATAATGCTACTGCACTGTAATCCAGATGCTTAACTGGTTAAATTGTTCCTAATTAGTTTATTCGTTGTTTTATTAAATGCAACATGTTACGGTTTTTCTACGTTTTATAATTTCAGTGTTTTGCCTTCATTCACGTAGCCATTCATTCATTCAACACAGCTTCACTGTTGAGCATTGAAGACAAACGTGAATAAGATATCCCGTTTTTACTTCGGGCGAGATACTGGAATAGATATTATGAATAGGTCTTGGCTGTAAAATAACTAGTCAGACCTTTTAATAAACTGCTATTTTTACACAAAATAAGAGAAAACCTCACCATGTCCTCCCTACTGTCAAGAAGTGTGAAGAGTCTGAGATATTACCCAGCTTTCAAACTAACAAGTCGCCTGCAACAGTTTCATGGATGCGGGTGGAAGACAGGAGACCCCTCGGTTATTACTACAACACGGCAGGCGGCATGAGCTTTGCGTTCTCGAGTCCCCTGTCCGCTAAGCCTCCTGGGGTGGTGGAGCAGCCCAGGCGGATGCCCTGTATGCGGTGTGTTTGGTGTGTTTATATTATGTATGAGGAACGCTCAGATTAGGAAAACCCACTCTTTTAAAAGGATTACTAGCACACTTGCTCAACGTTTGCCCTAGAGGGAGAGATTCTGTTTACTCTTCTGGATAAATCCACCCCTTGCCCCAGATGGAGAGAGCATTTATATCTCCCCAGGCTGTTTGCTCTACAAAAATCCTTGAAAAGATAATTCGGAACAATAACTGTGAATGCTGCTCCTCAGAGGACACACAGAAATGTGAAAGACTCATGGATAATGTTCTCCCAACACCCACTGAAAAAAATAAACAAACAAATGAATACAAATGGACAATCAGTAATAAGTAGATATAAACTGGACTTATTCTGAGGGCAAATACCAATATTGGAATACTAAGCAATGGCTGGGCGGGAGACCTGAAACAGTACATTACAGACTCTAAACAGAGGCTAAATCATCTCAATAACACCTACTGGTTCCCAGCATAAGCAAATGATACTGGAACCAACCAACAAACAAACAACAACAACAAAAACTCTGCTTTCATTCTTGGAGTAAGTGAAATGTGATTACCATATAATAAGACCAAATAAATAGGAGCACATAGTTTGGAATCACCAAACACATGACGAAATCAGCCACCACAAGTGAGAATTATCAGAAAGAACAAAAATAGATTTATATCCAAAGCAATTCAGATATTGAAGCATGAAATAAAAGAATATGATGAAATTACCAGATAAATCTGAATAAGAAACACATATGACTTTTAGAAATGAAAAATATTGGCCCAGGAGACTTTATGGATGAATTAAAAAGATTAGGCCGGTATAAGATAAAAGTAAGTAAATGGGAGAACTATGAAAAAACCTAGAATTAAACTCAGCGAGACACAGATATAGAATAAGAAATATTAAGAGGCATGCAAAATAGAACAAGCTCTAACATAAACCTAATCAGAGTAAATCTCCCAGACGGAGAAAATAGAAGAGACAATTTAAGAGACAACGGCATAATGTCGCCTTAATTTGCTGATACTCCCGGGCCCCTGCAGTCTACCTGAACAAAAGAGGAAGCGTTCAGGACACCAACGTAGAGGGGGAAGCAACATGGTATGGCTGGACTCACCGATGGGAGGCAAATAAAACGATTTCCTAGTAAGTTCACACAGTTCAGTAAACGTGTACCATTCTTATTGACGTAAAGGCCAAACAAATAGAAATTCAGTGCCTAGAATCTTAATTCTATTCATCCTAACTTCAGTCTGGTGCCCTCATTTCTATTCCAGTATTAAGCAATAGTATTTTCTCGGCATAGTTTGCAGTTCCAGTCAGACGACAAGAATGAGGCCGAGCTAGGGGACTCCCACCCCACATTTAGTACGTACGCATTAAGTATGATGACACGTCAGTCACTCTTCAGGGTAGCGGGGGACCGTGGAATGGCTGTGTTCTCATGCTCTTCGACCCCGACCCCCCGTTTTTCTAGACCACGTGGTGTATTACATTTCATTAAGTTCAGCTACTTCTAAGCCGCCAGGTTCCCTGTCAAACTCATCTCTTAAATTCTTTGGCTATTTTCTTGAGCAATATTTTTTTTTAAAAAAAGCAAGCTTTAAAAATACTAATAACACAGTTTCCTCCATAGCCTGCTGGTTACAGGCTGATTTACACACCCAGTTATGACTGGGCGAACCTAAGCCAGGTTCCCCTCACGCCCATGGCCCCAGGCCCCAGCACAGTGCTCGGCACATGGTGGGAACTCAGTCCTCATTTGTCCAATGAATAACGAAGACGGCATTTAAAACTTATTAGACAATTTGGGCCATGGTCTCATTTGGTGAAATCACATGAAATGCATGCAGCTGAGCATCCGCCACCTGACTGGGCCTTGTCTGGAAGAGAAACACCATCTCCGAGGACTTGTGGCTGGCGGGGACCCCTGGGGTGAGCTCCTGGGCTGTCGTGTCTGTCTGTCATCACCATATTTCCTCCCCAGCTCTCGGGCACCCACCTTTGCTCATTTGACGGCTGATTTCCTGCTCAGCTTCTCCAGCCTGACTCACGGCATGACCTACTTTCCAGGCTCCCAGGCTCTGCCAGGCACTCTCCTTCCTGGCATTGCGCTTCTGTGGACTGATAACTGGGAAGAACCTGGTCTAGGGAAGGATGCTCGCCCTTTACAAAAAAAAAAAAAAAAAAAAAAATTACCCACTGTCAGCCCTGAGTGTCTTGTCCTGGGTTGGAATGACCTATTTCCTACAAATGCTAGATTTCTTTGTGTTCTTAGAACTTCTTTGAATGCTTGAACGAACTTGCTTTTTTATATCTCTTTTGGTAACCTGAATTCTCCCTTTCTTTTCTCATCTTGGGTTTCATTCAAAATCTTGCCTGTTTCAAATATACAGCCAACCAGTCTGAGGACAGACACCAAGGCCTCCCCACTCCTTGAAAAGCAAACCCCACCAGTAACACACTTTCTCCGTGTAAGCACTGTACACGGCTGGGCACGGAACTGTGATAATCAAGGCAGCTTCTGCCAGGACTTCTGGGTTGTCACCCTTGCCTCCCTCTGTGACAAAAAAGAACAAGTATGAACTATGTATGCATCAAAAAATATCCTTAAATTTCTTTTTTTTTTTTTTTAAAGATTGTTCCTACTTGTATTTCCATTTCTTTGTTCTGCCAACTGTCCAATGCCTTTTTTTTTTCCTTCAAAAAGATGATATCCCCAGTACAGTACAGTGGCATACATCTTGGAAGTCTGCCTTGTGCACATCCAGCATCGGAATCAAGGTCAACGGCATTTTTTCACTAAGGAAAATCAGTTTTTAATTACGTGTTTGGATCATCTAGTGTTTGTTTGTTTGTTCCAGCCTTTCCCTTCCGACACCCAGCTCTCTCTAGGACATTCCCAAGGGCTATCGACTCCTGTCGTTCACTGTTTTTCCTCAAATATAATGAAGATTAACTCTAATATTGGCTTAAGTAAAACATAGGTAGGTTGCTCTACAGAAAAATGAATTCCATAGAGCCACATGCGAAAGAGGAATAATTTCGTATCATCTATCATTATGATTATTATTACCATTATTATTATTATCACTATTACAACCACCACAACTACTATCCCTGTTATTATTTGGCCACGTGACAGTGACACTTTAAGGCAGATTCCACCCTTCGTTTTTCTGCAGCATCCAGCTGAGCCGGGCACCATTCTGGAAGTCTCTTTTGAGACAATTCAGAAGCCATAATTTTCTCCTAGTGGTGAAAAATCATTTGGGATAAGGCCATTTCATAGCACTGCGAGGTTGGAGGAGATTTTAACGTGTGTCTCATGCCACCACCGTCCATTGCCCCGGCCTTCTCTCTCTGTGACATTCCTGCCAAGAGAGTGGTCTGGCTTCTGAGGGGACACCGGGGACGATCTGTTTGTTCTCTGACTCAATGGAAGGTTCTCTTTTTGATCATCTTTCACCTCGTTCCTGAAGCAATCATACTTTAACTGTGGTTAGATGGCTGATCAGTGCCAAGGGGGCTGAAGGTACTAATTGTAACACAGTCCAGTTGCATAAAATCCATTTGCATAGAACTCTTTTGAATTCGAATCTTATCTCCTTGAGCCCTGAGAACGCCAATTGTTCTCCTGTTGTAAGTTAACAGCTTTGCATACTTTAGAAGCAATGAGCCTAAACAAAAAGGAATTTTTTTCCAGTGGTTTGCCTTAGAGCCAACGGAAGCTGCAGCGAATACCCTGCGAAGAAGGAATTTACTGGGTTTCACAGCGAGTCTCCTCACTGATCCATGCTTATTATTACAGTCTTAGCCCGAGTACCTCTACTGTCCTAGAACTAACCTTTAGCTAATGTTAACCATTAGGCAAGGTATGATTTCTTTCTTAAGCAACAGCTGATACTTAATAACCGCCCTTACAAATAACTTTGCTGTATTGTACAACTCAAAGGAACAGATGGCATTCTTCTATTTTCTTTCAAACGTTCTTATTTCTCATGCGATTAACTTATTAAAAAGCTAATCTCACCTGTAACTGGAGGCAGCTAGTTGGGGATATCTCGCATTTACAACACATATTTTGATGTGAAACAAATCCTCCTTTCTCGCTGTTTTATATGTCACTGGTGGGAATTAGAAAGGGGGTAGCATCTAGAAGGAAGAACACTGATTCATGAATGGCCATTGATTTCGTCCTGGGGAGGACTGAGTCTGGGAATTTAGCTACTCCTGGCAGAGTACCTCTGAGCAGGCCCACAGAACCACAGGCTTCCCAGCACCTTAGACAATGGTGTGTGAGCAGCAGCCTCGTGACTCATGGAGGGCGAGCTGGCAGGGGGTGATCCAGAGCAGGCAGGAGACTACTTCTAACGAGGAGCTACACTGTAGCCAAATGACTAGCAGCGCTCACTCTGCGTGCTGGGAAACTGGGCCGTCGGCTGCATACTGCCGCCTCACTTCCTCCCCCAAAGAGGGTGTGTTTGTCAAAAAAGGCCCCGGGCCTGGAGCTGAGGCGCAGGATCGGACACATCTGGAAGGTGTAAGGCACCGGGCTGGCAATTAGTAAGTATGGCATCAACACGCGTGGAGCGGATTCATCCTTCCGTCTCACACCTGTGAGAGCTCGAACTTTAAAACTCGAGTCTTAGTTTGTCAGTTGGGAAATTTGTAACTATTCAATGACTTGCCGGATGTGAATTCTCGTCGGGGTGGTGGAACGTGGCTACTGCGGAAATGATTTCCTTTGGTCAGATCCATGAGTTTCTAAGCCTTCCGAAAGGTGATTTTTTTTTTTTTTAGACAACACGGAATGGTCTATGAGTGTGTGCTTTGACTCCATACCACTATAATATGAATAATCATATTATAATTGTATTTCAAATAACAGTAGTCTATGAGCTAAGTAATTTCTGTTCAAAAATGTGACTCTATGAGTGACGACAGTCTATTGATGATCTTCTTAGAAGACTGAAAAAAAAAGAAACTCAAAAGTTTATATATGTATACATATGTGTATATGTGTAAATTCCAGAAATGAACATATGTAGAAAAATACACTTGTGTGTTTATCTATGTAGGTTGAACTGATCTGGATATTATTATGTGACCATTTGGGCTTTCAGGGTTTAAGGAGAGGTAGGAAGCGGGGCATCTCTACAAAAAAAAGACTGTTCTTATGTCGTTTTCAGTCTGGACAGAATTCAAAAGTATCAGGGTTTTCACAAACGGCCTTCTTCTCAAAGCTTTCTTGGCCAAGTTTGGATACCCCAAGAGGCTGAGGAAAACATCTGACCTTCTGGCACATACCACACTGTCTAAACCTTTTCAGGCTGACCCATCACAGGCAATGAGCTCAGCAAAACAGGCAGCACCTTAAGCAAACAAGACAGTTAGACGCGAAAGACAGGCCACCTTATACTTTAGTTCCTGTAAGAAACGGTCAATTCAGAAATGTTTTCTTTTCACTGAGTTAAAAATAGCTGAAGCTGAAATAGCTCATCCTATGAAATACTTAAGAGTAAAATGTGTCTTTTACTTTTTTTTTTTTTTTTACTCTCTTTCCTTAAAAAAAAAAAAATGTGTCGTATTAGACCCATCAGGCAGCTGCAGCCAGGATGGAATGTTAGCCATGCCACCGGATCCGAACCGGAGGGAACATGCCTTTCATCTTAATTCCAGGCTGGACAAGGGAACGCACTATATTCTCCGCTCTGTACGAACAAGAGGAAACTTTCCCAGAGTGTTTTTCTTTTGCATTTCTGAGTCTTATTGGATTGGAAGCTTGTCCATGCGGCCCAGCAGGGTCCATTTTCCATAATAAGGCTAAAAATATGTCGGCAATGTTTTCTTTAGCACGGTCTACGAGGGTCAGGCACGAAAGTGCCAGAACTCCTTTTCTTGCTGATTCTAGTTCACCTTTCCCCGGAGACGGTCCCGCTGTTAGCCTACCTTTCTTACTCGGTGTTATTCTTCTGATAGGCCACGTAACCCGGCGTGTAATCCAACATGGAATAATTGTAGAAATTTATTCCACGTCCCTCTAAAATACAGATTTTGTTCTTTCTTGATGGTTATGTCGCCAATGACTCACTTCGGTAAATCATAGCCCTGGAAATATTTTCCTGTAATGGGAACGCATTGTCATTGAGTCATCCATACTCTATCAGAGTTCGTTGCGAACACTGCATCTAGACTTAGAGGGAGTTCATCTAACTGGATTATAAAGGGATAATAAAGCGATCGGGAGCATAACTTTAGGTCAGAAGAACTGAGCTGAATCAACTGATACCCATATAATCTTTGGTAGACTTTATTGCCAAATCTTACTTCTTCATCTGCAAATCAGGTACGTGAAGGTGTGGCAAGGATTAAATGCAATAATGCAGCCGATGTCCTTAGCATGGTGCTGAGCTTCTTTTAAGGAGAGATCCGATAACCTTGGTCTCACTTCTAAGCGACTGAACCAGCTAACCGCAGATAGAGTCCGTAACTCCATGGGTGGAAACGCTCTCGTGATTAGGAACATCATCCCAGACTTCTCCGGATTTCTGGACACGGTTATCGTTCAAGCTCTCTGGACCAGTGGTCCTCAAAGAGAGGCAGCTTTGGTCCCACAGCAGACGTTTGTTTTTGGCGGTTGTGATGTTCAATTTTGGTGGTCCTACCTTTGGTGCAGTGGGTCCCTCTGGCATCTAGTGAGTAGGGGTCGCGGATGTTGCTAAACATTCTATTAGGCACAAGGCAGTCCCCTGCAACGAAGAATTATCTGGACCAAAATGTCAATAGTGCAGAGGTTGAGAAATCCTGGTTTAGAACAAAAGCTTTTAGGGTCTGCTGTTGGTCTGGAAAGATATCACAGGAGACATTAAAAAAAACCAACAACAAAAAAACCCCACACCTCTTAAGTTTCATTCCGTGCCTCATTTATTCCAGGGACAGTTCTGAGTGCCTACTGTGTTCAGAGCTGCACTGCCGGTGGTTGAGACAGTCTGGGTTTCTGAAGCCGACAGGCTTCTCACGAGGCCAGGATGCTGGCTGATGGGTGAAGGACAGATGGAGGAATTAGCTAAATCCTCCTGATGATAAATGCATGCATTTAATCCTAGAGATTAAATATAAATTAGAAGCGGCTTTAGATGCTTTAATATCATTCCTAAGACTTAAGAATTTTCCAAAGTAAATTCATCTCCAAAGCAAGTTAATATTTTTACCGATTCAAAAGGGTTTTTATTGCTCGCAGTGATATGTAGAAACCAGCCTGTCTTACAGAATGGCTGCTTCTTTCCCGGGTCCAGGGGTTACCAGATGCCAGGTGTGGAGAATGCCAGACGTGAGGCTTACAAAAGTGATATTCATTTACAAGAAGTTAAAAGTTTTGTTTGTATTGAATTCAAAAATTAAAAGTTAAATTTTTAAAAAAATTCAATAAAAGTAATTTGTTTCAGCTTCACATCTTTTAAAGCTCTGAACCTTGCTTCGCTTTTCCGGACTTGCTATCTGCCTCCATCAAACTGCAAAGAGGTTGTTTCAATTTAGAGATTTAAATTTATGTGTAATCTCATATTCTAACCAATAATAATTTATAGTGTAGATTTTCCCCCTGCATGTATATAATAAGTGTTTTCAGAGTTATCCCATTTCTTGCTTACTTCTCACGCTCTAGATGTATTTGTCATAATTTGCTGATGATGGCTTCTTTCCGATGTCCCCCAAGTCAATCCCCACGACCAACCAAGGTGGCCCCATAATCAGAGAAGTAAATGAGTCCAGTCTCTTGTCACTTGAAGACTATGTTTATGGTCCGTGGCCAACTGCAAAGTTCTCAGCCACATATCATTCTATTTTTGGTGCAGAGATATTATTTTGCTAGTGTTGGCATGTACTTTTCAGATTAAATTTGGATCAATACTAAGATTGTTAATGTTGTAATTGATGATTGATTGAAACTAGAAAAAAGTAAGGAAAGCTTAGTGTAGGATATCTATAGACTCCTGCACTGCATGTTATTTTCATTGATAAATTAGCTTAAGAACGTGGACAGGAAATAAAGGCTATGCAGTGGAGAGGCGACAGTAAAGGAAATCGTAGATTCTGATTCTCGTCCCAGATGGGAACTTCATAACATCACTCAGGCCTTCCAAGTGTTCAGTAGCTCATTTATAAAAATGGATGGATTGAACTTCACCATCCCTTTTTAACACTATATTTCTATAATTCCGTCGAAAGAACACTGCTTTCCAATAAGTGACATTATGTAGAAAAGAGGTCTATAATGAAATTTAGAGCGCATGAAGACACTTGATTAAATAGTAAATTATTTCTTAGCGAGAATGCTAAGAAGGACTCTATGATCTACGAATGGCTGTAAGTCTGTTTTGAAAAGCTGCCACTGGTGGTTCCTCTACATAGGCTGATATTCTTCTTGCCATGTGAGTTCACTGCCCTGATCACAGGTAACCAGATATTGGGCCACGGAAGCACCTAGTACAAGCTGGCAATGTACGTGTTGGCATTATATATACTGATATATATACTGATATATATGTACTGATATATACTAATATACTGATATATCTACTGTAAAGTGAATGGCTGAGCCAATCCTTCTTGAAAAGTTTGCTTTGAGAGAAAGTCGGCAGATAGTGGAGTGGTAGAGAAACCAAAAGAACCACAAGAACGAGGCAATAAAAAGAAGAGATGAGGCATCAGAAACCATAAAAAAACCCAAAAAACAAAAAACCAGAATCCCGTAGCAATAAAAGCCTGAGGCAATCTTTGCTACAAGCAAGCAGAAACCCCGAAGTACCAATTTACGCTTAGTACCAAATGTCTAGCCACAAGCGACATATTCAGAAAGGAGGAATCCTTGGCAACGTATATTAAAATCAAAACCAAGTTTTTTTAGGTTGTAAAACCATCACGACTTGACGGTATCCATCACATTCGTAAGAATTAGAGACTAGGAGAATAAAACAATGGCCTTTCCGTAAATGGAATACATTGCAAACAAATGCTGGCTATGTGCCTGTGAGCAAGTTAACCCAGGGGCCCTGCTGGTGTCTGTAGAGTTGACATTCACTTTGGCCATGACCTTGAGTTCAGTGAGGTTTGGAATGAGTCGGTTAAAACGAAGCCGCACCGTTTCTGAGTGAAGCACTAGAACTCTGCCACCCCACGTTCTGCCTTTTTCACGATTGTGACTCACGTGTGCCCTTTTCAGCTGCCAACCATCACTCACTCCTCTTCGAATTCCCACTGACAGCACGGTATGGTGCCTCACACATAGTAGGTCCTCGATACATACAATGCTGAGGTCACGATGAGGTGACAAACAGTAGTTCCTTTTTCAAATATGTATAGTTGAGTTCAAGCACTTTATGACAGGCTTAAGGTATACTCTATATATTAAGAAACAAAAAACAAAAAACAAAAAACCAGAAAAATATATGTGGGCTGGACATACTCAACATTCTCCGGACTGCCCTGGCTCTGGTTACCCAGTCAGTCATGGCTGGGTCACATGATCGCCAGAGGTCAAAGCTCAGAGAACGCAGCTCTGAAGCTTCTGTGCACAAGGGTGTAATTTCAAGTTACTAATAACTCAGGAACACTTGATCTCTTCCTTATTCTTGCCCAGATGAGTCACTTTCTTGGTAGTTTACCTTGAGGTCCTCCTATTTATACACAGCGCACCAGCTGGCACGGAAAATGGTGTGCATCTGTCTTTCATATTCAAATACGTTGCTCTAGGCAGTTTTCCTCCCTGTACAGTTCTTGTCCTCAATGTTTCATTTCTCTAGTCCCGTTGTTTTCACCTAAAACTATGGACGTTTCTTCCAGGGTGAATTAATTAGTCTTGAATATACCGGGGAGGTGGAATGTCTACCTTTGACTGAATTTATTACAGCAGAACAAAATAACAAAAAGAGCCACTGCACTGTTTCCTGAAGAATCGGCCAGAAGAATGTCTACTTTTCAGAGGCTCGTTTGTTTTTTTAAATCCCCGAAGAGAGATTTGACTCAGCAAAAGTGAGTTTTGAGCCTCTTCAGCAGTGGCGGCAGCAGCTGGGCTGTGGATCTTGGCTCTAGGTCTGGCCTGGTCATTCAGCAGATACTGTCCCTGCCAGGCCCTGGAGCTGCTTTTAGCCACTGCCACAAATGCTGCCTACCAACTGTTGCCTAGGTGAGGGGAGCCTTGGCCATAAATCCTGGCACCCTCCCCTCCCCCCAAATTTGCCTGATTCATTTGTTCACACCACGCCTTCAGGCGGTGGAAGCTGTGATTGCTTGGCTTCTCATTTGCGTTCTCTCTCTCTCTCTCTCTCTCTCTCTCGACCTGGGAGTGATCCAGCCAAAACTGGAATTAGAAGAGGCACCCCCACCCATGCAACACCGATGCACAAAATAAGAAAAACGACTGCTACTTATTTGAAACTGTTTTTGGGGTTCTTTAAGATGCCCTGCAGTTTTGTTTTTTTTTTCCTGAGCACATTTTGGGCTTTGAGTAACAGTTTGCTTTTTGTGGGTTTGACTTAAGGGTTTTTCTTCTTTGACTCCACGTAGTTGTAGAAACGGCAATTGCTTAAAAAACGGCGTGACTCGAAATTCAGAAGCCACTTTTAAAAAGATTGATCGATGTGACTACATAAAAATAAAAATATTAGTGTATGGCAAATTTTTTTTTTTTTTAAGGAAAAAAGTAGAAAACACCGTGAGTAAAGTCATAAGACAAAATAGGGGAAAATGAAACATTTCGCTGGCAAAGGGCTCATTTTTTTTTTTAATATGTAAAAAGCTCCTACAAACCATCAAGAGAAAGGTCAACAACTTAGTTAAAAAGCTGTAAAATATAGGAATAGGAAGTTCATGGAAATGAAATTAAAGTGACTTTTAAGCACATGAAAAGATGCTCAAGCTCATTCATAACATGAGAAGTACAAATTTGAACTAACTACAGATACCGGACTGAACAAGGCCCAGGTGTGAGTGCCAGAGCTGGGAGCGCTGTGGATGATCAGCCACTTTCACATAGTGCTGGTGGAAAGATAAATTGTTACCACTTCCAGGGAACGAA